AATCAATATTATGCTAATTAACGGTAAATGTTTTGCGATCGACAGGAGGATGTGCTGCGATTGCAATGCTTGTGGGTCCGGACGCTGCCATCGTTTTTGACAGGAAAGTGCGGTCCACTTACATGTCTAACGTCTATGACTTCTATAAACCCGATATGAGTTCGGAGTACCCGACAGTCGACGGCCCGCTTTCCAATCAATGCTATCTCCAGGCACTCGACAAATGCTTTAAACTATATTTCGAAAAAGCAAACAAACTGACGAAAGGCACGTCTCTCGACACCTTTGACGCTATTGTATTTCACGCCCCGTATTGTAAACTCGTCCAGAAGTCCATCGCACGACTTCAGCTCCTTAACTATCTGCAGAGTTCGGACAATCAAAACAACGATTCATTTAAAGCGCTGGAAAATTACAAGTCATAACTCAAATCATTAAAGTTGTTAATTAAGTATTTTAATTATTTGTATGATTTCTAATTATAGAAATGTGAAACTGGAGGAGACGTATAACGACAGAGAGTTGGAGAAACTTCTGTTGACTCTAAGCAAACGCACGTTTGATCAGAAAACGGATCCGAGTCTGATGTTGGCGCGCACTGTCGGCAATATGTATACGGCATCTCTCTATGCATCCATCACTTCTCTGCTATTGAGGTAATCATTGGTTGCTATACAACCATATGTAGTGTTTGCATGATTTCAATTGAAAACTAATTAATAGTAATTAATGTATTAAAAACAGTGAATCGGCCGATAGTTTGGCGAACAAAAAGCTGCTGTTATTCTCATACGGGTCTGGTTTGGCCGCATCCATGTTCTCAGCGAGAGTGACATCGGATCAGACGGTACTCTCAAAACTGCTCAAAGGAATCGCTGATATTCCGAACCGATTGAGTCGTAGGTCGAAAGTGTCGGCCGAAGTGTTTGAAGAAGCGCTGAATCTTCGAGAGAAGACGCATAACGTGGCGCCATATAAGCCGATCGGATCGCTCGACCAGTTAGTCGCCGGAACCTATTTCTTAACGGCTG